GAGAGTGGGGTCTTTGTTGATGATCAGTTCCTGGACCTGGGAGGAACACACACCTTAAAGCAAGGTTCCGCGAGACAGACAGCACGGCGGGCAGACACCTTCCACTCCAGTCCTGCTTCTGCCACGCCCTGCGCGGCCCCAAAGAGCCTCCCCTCTCTGGGCCTCAGCTCGCTCTTCTCTAACTAGGGTTTCAGGGCCCACTGCGAGGCCTCAGCACAGGGCCCCGTGAAGAGCAAGTGTGCACGTGACACACAGAGCTAAAGCCCGATGGCACACTGCAGGACGACTTGCTGAGACTCGGCAGTCTCTTCCCCTCGCTCTCCTCCCACGCCCACCACCGAGCCCCATCCGGCAGGAGCTTGTGACCGTGAGCACCTGTACCTGCCGGGCTCTTTGGAGCAAGCCCTTCTGTGAGCAGACATGCCCAGCGCTGGCATAGGCCCACTCCAGCAGCCAAGGTGCCTTACTGAAGGCTCTGCAGCCACGTCACAGGGGAACCGCCAGCACACCACCGTGCTGCTGACGCGGAGCCGGTACCCAAGAGCTGGGGCTCTCAGCCTCACCCTGAACTCACCTGCCTCCTGCTCTGAACCACAGCCAGCATCCCCCGGCTCCCCACATCTTCTTCTGCTCTTGCTCAAGTTCCGGTGCCCTGTCTGAGACCTCCACTCCCACCTGGCCTCATTCTCTTGGTCTTATCCTCCAGGCCTCAGCTCAGATGGCCCCTTCTCCAGAAAGTCCGCCCTGACTCCCCCTTCCCCCTGCACCCCAGCTGGGTCAGGAGTTCCCTCTGGGCTCCCATAGGCCCTAGGCTCCTCCATGCTTCCTCCCTTTGGGCCCCCCTTTCTGGTGACTTACAGGTTCTGCCCACTGCACAGAACCCTGGCAGAGAGGAAATACAAGCATGGGATTTGGAGTTGGGGCCCAGCACCCAAGTCCCAATTCAGTCAGCTCCCAGCAGAGAGAGCCTGGTCTCTGAGACTTTGTCTCTATACAGGAAAGGAGTGAAATCACCCCAACCCATGGAGCTTTAGTGAGAGCGCCTGCCTAACCGTCTGAGCACTGGGCAGGCACATACCCAGGGCTTAAACATGGACACCAATGTGTTACCAGCATCTTCCTTCTCACAGGTTCCCACAACCCCACCCTGCTCAGCTCGCCCAGCCCTCACCTGCTTGAGTACTGTGATCTTCGAGTCATTGGTGATCAGTGCTGCCTGGTTCAGGAGATCCACCACCTGGCGGGAGGGGGAGGCCGGTGATGGGGCTACCGCGTCAGCCTGGCCCCCCTGAGCTTCAGGGCTCTCCACCTGGGCGTGGGCCACCCAGAGATGGGGGCTGTCCCTCCCCCCTCTGCACCCTTCTCTCCACGCTCACTCTCTCTGAGGTGGTCATGCCATCGATGCCCGGTCCTTCTTCTTGTGTGAAAAACTGGGACGCCACGCTCCGGCGAGTGACGCTATCCCCACTGCTGCCCGCCATGGCTGCTGTCCAGGACGCCCTGGAGGAGAGGATGGATCAGCTCTAGGACCCGGGGTTGAGCTGGACCTTCATCCCAGGATTCATCAAGGAGCCTCCCTCCCCGCCTGTCCTGGCCGTATTAGGTCTGCCGAAGACACTCCCCACTCTACGGTCTGTGTATGTGGGGTTTGTCATCTGGGGGAGCCCCACGTCTCCCTGGTCAACCCAGTCTCCCCTCCAGTGCTGCACACACCGCGGGCTGATGGCAAACACCCGCTGGCTGGCTGAACCAATACATAGCAGCCACCTCGCAGGCCGCAGCACCGCCTGTGTCTCTGCATGGCTGTGCTCTGCTTGGGCCCCAAAGCAAGCTTTCTGGCAGAGCTCAGCGCAGGCAGTCCACACAGCAAAGATCGAAACTCTGTTTCAGTATTTTCTGGACTGCTCTTCCTTAAAGGAGAAGAAGGGAAGACTTTTGGGCATCTCTCCCAAAGTCACACAGGCAACGTTATAAAACCAGGATATCAATTATAGCGCTATTTCTAATAGCAAGAAAATAGCATAAACCAACGTTAAAAATAAATTTAAAAAGGACTATTAACGTTCCCAAATAGGGAGATATGCTGAAAAATGATACATTACATCCCTGTTGTGTTCTTCTCTTCCACGGACTTTATTACCACAAGCTACATATTGGTAAGTTCTATGAAGGGAGAGATGTGTGTGCCTGCACCTGCCCATTGGTTAGCTTTTTTATATCCTTTGCCTGGAACAGTGCTTGCCACCTAGGAAGTGCTCCATAAATATAAGCTGAGGGAGTGCCAAAAGGCTTCCCTAATCACTGGGCTCAGTACCTCTGCCCTTTGCCCCTAAAATGCTTGAGAAAAATAATAGCTAATATTATCAAGCGTGTGACACACGCTGGGCACAATTCTAATACACATATCAATCCATTTCAGTCTCACATCTACTCTTCAATAAAAAAGGGAAAACTTGGGCCTCCCTGGTGGCGAGAGGTTGTCTCAGCACTATCAAGCTATCGCCAGCTACTGTGGCATGAGTTCGATCCCCGGCCAGGGAGCTGATCCACATGGCACAGCAGACCACTCGTCTCGCCCGCTGATCCTCTCAGCAGTGTATTTCAGTAGATCCTCCTGTTCTTCTTCCCACTGTCTCTGGTGAATCCTCTCATCCCTTGCACTTCTGGCCTACACCCCAGTTCTTGAATGCATAATAAAAATATTTTTTTTTTTAAAAAGGGGGATTAGGGAGGATCTAGTTTTAATTTCCAATTCACAACAAAATTTGAAGGTCAGAGAGTTCAAGCTACCAGAGCAAAGGCTCACAGCCTGGGAGATGTAAAGCGAGCGCCCCCGCTGCAGCACCTGCACTGCTCACCACCATCACAGTGCCCATCTGAAGGGGGTCCTTCTGTTAGGGGGAAAAGGATGTCCTAGGACCCACAGCCAGGAACCCATTCAAAATTGGGGCTGCTCTATAACACTTCTCCACCCCTGCTCTGTTCTTGCATCCCAAGGGGCGTGGTGCGAGCACACTGCTGGCCCCATCAGAACAGAAGCACCCCTTCTGATGACCCTTTTCACTCCTCTCATCTCAAATACGTTGGGATCCACCCAAATCATTTCTTTCGCCCTCTTTGTGACTGTGTCCCTTTTCAGTTAAGGTAGATACATGTAGCCCCCTCTTTTTGAAGCATGCAATGAAAGCTTCCAGCCTGTTTTCACTTACTACGTTCACTTACTATGTGTGTGGGGATGCTCCTGCCCCCCCCCCCACCATTCCTTTTTAGAATTGCATAGCATTTTATTACGCAGCTGTACCCTGATTTTTCAGACTGCCTCCCTGTTGAAGAACATTTGGGGTGTTTATAGTCTTTGCTACTACCAACCATCACTGCTTCCCCTTCCCTCCTGGGGTACCACTGTCCCCCTCTCACCTAGGAGTCTGAATACTCCCCTCATCTACAGAGTCGCCCCAGCAGTTATCTTTCATTCAGTGAACATTAACTGGGTGTCTTCTGAGCGGCCGGCGGCCAGCACACGTCCAGTCCGGGCCCCGTGGGGCTCACGGTCCCAGGTACAGTCAAACCTCACAAATAAAGGTGTGAGAACGAATCAGCCCACACGTGATAGGAAGGAAAAGAACGGGGCCTATGAGAGCGTTCAGCAGGAGGATTTCGGGATGGAGGGCGGGAAAGGAGGGCCTCGCAGGGGAAGTGACGTTGCAGCGGGGACCCGAAAGATGAATGGGAGCTAGCCGGGCAGAAGGGGCGAAAGGATGCTGCGGGCGGAGGGGGCGGCTTGTGCAAAAATCCTAAGGCGGGAAGGCGCATGGCGAGTTTGAGGACCCCGAAGGCCGGTGCAGCAGTGCGAAGTGGGGATTGTGCAAAGAGGCAGAGCCGAGGCCGGCGGGGCCGACGCGCCTGGGGGCCACGTTGGAACTTTGCCCTGAGGGCGCTGGGGAGCCACGAGAGGGTCCTGGGCAGGAAAGAAAGTGGGGTACCGAACGTCACTGCTCCCCCCTCCTCGCAGCGCCCCCCCTCCCCGCCAGCGCCCTGCCTCTTCAGGGTCCTTCCCCCCCAGGCCCCCACGCCGCCCCCGCTCACCGCGGCTCGGGCCTCCGTCCCCCTCGCGCCCCCTCAGCAGCGCCTCTTCGCAGACGCCGCCGCCGCCATCTTCCGTCCCCCGCCGCGACACTGCGCACGCGCCCCTCCCACAGGACCGCCGGGAAATGGAGTCCACGCCGGGGCCAGGCCTGGGCCCAGCCTCGGCCGCGTGAGCCGCCTTCTGCCCGCCCCCGGACGAAGCCCGAGCGGCCCTTCATTTCCGGCCTTCGAGCGCTATGCCTGCTGGGAAATGCAGTCCCGCTAGAGGCACCGGGCTGAGGGGCGCGGGGGCTTCTGGGAAATGGAGTTCCCGGTGGCTCCGAGTCCCTGGACGGCTGGGGGCGGAGAGCGCGGCGAGGCGGGGCGCTGAAGCCCCGGGGTTTTGGAGGTGGTCTATCGCCCTAGCGGGGTCTCAGCGGAGGCCCCGATCCCCTCCACCTTTGAACCTGACCCTTTACACAGTGTGGAGCATCTCCAGCCGTCGGACGCTTCATTCTTCCCACCCGTCCAGTGCGACAGGGCTTTTGAGGGTGCCTCGTCGGTCCTTAGAGGGGCAGAACGGGGCCCCCGGGGCCAAGCGCGCCCTGAGCCCCCCCTTCTTCGGTGGCGGCGACACCGAACTCTGGCTGTTTGTCTTCTCCTGTCGAAAAGATGTCCCCGGCATCGAAGGGCCCACAGTCCCGCCCCGCGGCCCCGGGACCAGCAGCGTCTCCCCGCGGCGCTCGGGGCCGCGGGCTGGGGCGCCCGTCGCCCGAGGTCTGTCTCCTCGCAATCCCGCAGGGGGCGCCTCAGCCCGAGCGCGCCGCCCTCGGGGAGGCGGGAGGGGAGCCCGGGGCGGGCGAGGGCGGGGTGGGGGGTGTCCCAGCTATAAAGCGTGGCCGCCTCCCGCGGCGCCCGGGACGGCTGAGACCCGGGGCGGCCGGACGGGCGGGCGCCGGTCGAACTCGGGCCGCGCGGGCTGAGAGATCCGGAGCGCTCGGTTCCCCCCCACCCCGGACCGGAGCGGGGGCGGGTGGGGGCGCAGGCCCGGGGGATGCTGGGCTCGGTGAAGATGGAGGCCCATGACCTGGCCGAGTGGAGCTACTACCCGGAGGCGGGCGAGGTGTGTCCTCGGGGACGGCGGAGCGGGAAGTGGGGGGCAGGAATCACGTTGCGGGCTTATATGCGGGCTAGGACCGGGGTGTGGGCTCAAATGGGGGCCCCAACTAAAGTGGAGAAAGTGGAGGAGCTGGAGAACTAGAGACACGGAGACCAGGTGTAGCAGTGAGGGGAGGGGGACAGGGCATGGGAGCGTGGTCTAGGCAGGCTAGTCCGAATGGGAGTCCGGAAATTTTAGGCAAAGGGTCGGGTCATAAGCCGGAAGGTGAGGACTGGGAACCCCAAAATCCAAGGGATTGAAATGAACAAACCAAAGATAAGAATCAGAGCTCCAGAATAGCTGGGGGATTAGGACATGGGGTTCAGAATGGGGGTAGAGGTGAAATAAGAGATGGGAGAGGGTAGTCATTATTTAGGGGAGTTCAAGGTGGGAGCTCAGTGTGAGATTAGTGTTAAAGATGGAGGGCTTCTGGGGTAGCAATCAAAATTCGGATTCAGGAGTATGGATCAGAGGTAGTCCAAGAGGGTGGGGGGCTGTTGCTCGGAGATGAGACAGAGGTGCTGGGTGATGAAGCTTGGTTTGGGGAGTCTGAAATAACAGGTGGGTTAGAGTTGGGGATCAGATAGACGGGAGCCCAGATGGGGTCACAGTTGGGTGGGTCCCTGAGAGCTGGAGACACGGCAACAGCTTTGGCAGAAGAGAGACACTCTCTCCACCCCGCCTTCCCTTACACATGACCCTCACCCCTCCTGGCTGAACTTCAGGGGTTTAATTGTTATTAGAGACCCTCAGCAGGGATTCTTGGTGGTGGAGGCCAGAGGGTTTCAGATTTCTCACCTCCCCCCCTTTCCTTCAAGCAATTTCTAGTAATTGTTAATGTCCTCACCAGTCCCATCTCAGACCGGGCCACCCAGTGTAGGGGGAGGGGGGCTATCTTAATTCCCTAAACCCAGCAGACGGAAAGTCCTTCCTAAGTCTAATTCCCACTCCTCTTGCTGCAAGGATTTATTGGCTGGTGCCCTCTCTAGTTAACTTTGTGAGGCTGGCCGGGGTGGGGGTGTTATAGGGCAGCTAACAGGGGGTGTGGGGGGGGGCTAGTTGGAGGGTTATGGGGGTCCAGACACTTGGCTCCCAACCTGCAAGGGAACTGTGGGCTTGAAGTGGGGGTTTGAAGCTGGAATAGCTGTGTTCTCCAAGGAGGCTGAACTCTGTGGGGGCTCCAGCATGCCTGAATCTGGGGTTTGAAGCTGTAGGTTGGGACTGCTGGATCCCCAGGCCTGCGGGGCTTGGCCAGGTGCCCAGCAGGGGCCAGTCCTGGGGCTGTGGAGGTGTGAGGTGCAGGTGGGGTGGGGCAGGCTGAGCTGAGGAAGAGGTTGCCAGTGTGGAGAGGTGGAGGTGGGGCCACCAGAAGTGTCTGTTGTACCTTGGGGGAATCAGAGACTTAGACTGGGAGGTGTGGGCAGTGGGGGGGCTCCTAGGGAGTGGAAATCCCAATTGGGACATGAGTAAAAAGAACTAACTGCAAATCCATGTTGGGGAGCACATCTTAAGGGATAGTTGGTGGGGGTCTAACATGGAGAAGTCATGATTTGGGGCAGTCTGAAGTTTGGGAGACAATTTGTATGGAGATGATGTCAGAAATTGAGGGTGCTGGGGGTCATGTTTTGGGAGAATCGACATCTGGGAGACTGAAATGGAAATACTAGTTTGAGGGGGAGCAACCTCCACTTGGGTCAGAACAATGGGGCGATAAACATCTGCGTGCTCCTCAGCCCTGAGGAATAGGGTCCCCGCTGCTTCTGGCCCACCGTGCCCTCCTGCTGGGGCGATGCTGACACCTCCAGGCCAGCTTCCTGTCTGAAAGGAAATTGGAGAGTTACCGTGCTGGGGCATCCCCACTGGCTGATGCAACTGCTCCCCCACTTTAGAGATGGAAAATCTGGAGCCTGTGGAGTCTTGGGGAGGTTGCTGGGTTGCTGGGCTCCTGGACGGAGGCTGAAACCAGGCTTCTCACTTCACACTGCCTCTCTGCTCCCTGTCACACCCTCCTCCAGAGACAATAAGGAAATGAAAGAGGAGAAATTCCAGCCTCCTGGGGTGGGGGTGCAGGTCCCCTGAGGGCTTCCCCCCAATCTCGGCCCCACCCTGGCAGGGGAGATCCGGCTCACACCCGGACACTGGGGGTTCATCCCAGCCCCGGGCGTGGGAAAGCCAAGGGTGGATTAGGGCAGCTGAAGTGCCTGAGGTCAGACCTCAAGGAGGACTTCCTGGTGGGTGGAGAGCCAGAAAAGGAGGGCCCTGGGGTCTGAGCTGGAGAAATGGGGGGGGGGGGCTGCAATGAGATTTAGAAACTCTGGATCTTCATGAATCCATCATCTCCCTGTAGGACCCTCTTCCCTTATTGTGGGAGGGGGCGGAGCTGGTGGGTGGGGGGACCAATGTGGGGTGGGGGGAGTAACTGGTGCAGAGATGGTGATTCTGAGTGAGGGAAGGAGATACAAAGAATTGCTTCACCCAAGGAGAGATTGGGGGGGCGTGGAGAGAGATGGCGGGGAGGCTTGAGAAGAGTGGAGTAGAGAAAGGCAGAAGCAGAGACAGGTGCTGAGGAGGGAATAAAGAAGGGGAAGGGTGGAGACAGACAATATGGGGCTGGAGGGAGAGGACAGGAGAGAGACGGGGCTCAGGAGGTTCAGGAGGAGAGAAAGATGGGGGGAGAGACCAGGAGCGAAAAGAAAGCATGAAAGAGATCATGAGTAGAGACAGGGAGATAGCAGAGGAGAGAGACAAGGGGAAGGGGTGAGAAGAGAGACACAGTGGCAGCTGGATGAGGGAGGGAGAGAAAGAGCAGAGAGCGGAATGCAGGAGAGAGATCCCGAGACAGAGATGGATGGACACAGCGCCAACAGGGAGATTCCAGACACATTCCAGGAGTTACCTGGAGACCTGTCTACCTGGCCCTGACTTCCTGGGTAACCCTGGCAATCCCCTTTTCTCTCTGGATCTTGGGATCTTTTCGGACACTTGCAGTGAAAGGGGGCCCACGATAGCCCTGACCTGCAAGAGTGCCACCCCCATGCCACTGGACTCTGGGGGGAGGGAGCAGAGCAGACAGGGGAAGTGGATCCTTGAAGGAGGGAAGATGAAAGACAGTGACAGAAAGAGACATTTCCTTGGTTACCTTGTTCACTTCCTGCTAGGCCGGCAGTCCCATGAGGGTAGGTGTTTCAGTCTGTCCGGGTCACTGTTTTTATAGCATGATTCAGAATCTCAGTCTCGAGCCAGGCTGCCAGGGTTTACAATCCCAGTTCTGCCCCTTCCTTGCTGTGTGACGCAAGCACACCCTCTGGGCTCAGCTCCCTAGGCTGCAAAATGGGCACCATAAGAATCCCCCCATTCTCCTGCTGGTGTGATCCTAAGAATCACAGGGGCCTCTCCTGTGAAGGGCTGGACTAGTACCTGGCGCAGAGAAGGAAGCCAATATCTGTTAAATATTTGAGAGAATATGTAGAGGCTATTTCGGGAGACATAGGCCTGTCTGCTGTATTTCACTGGGCCGGGAGACATGTTTTTCTCTCTATTTGATCATTTTTAAAAATGGAATCGGTTTCATTGTCCAGGGTGTGCAGGAATTATAACTGGCAGCTAGTTTTCCCCCTCACTGATCACAAAATCCCACTGCATTTTAGGGTGATGTCTGAGATGTGATGATATGCAATAAGTACGGGGTATATTCTGTTGAGATGGGATTTCTGGTATTCGACATTTTGACCCATTAAAAACCAATTTTAAAATCTAAAAAAATGGATAGATAATATCAGGTAGATTAGATAAACTAGCTATTTTCTTTTTCAAACCCCCCCCAGCTCTTTACACGCTTATAAATTTTTTTTAACTTTTTTTTTAAAGATTATTTATGCATACAAGAGCTGGGTACAGGCCAGAGGTGGGGGGGGGGGTTGAGAGGATTCACCAGAGACAGAGTGGGGAACAGAACAGGCAGATTGACCCAAGTACACTGCTGAGGGGAGCAGGGGGTGAGTCAGGAGAGGTCTGCTGCGCCACGTGGGTTTCTCCCTGGCAGGCCAGGGATCGAACTCACACTGTAGAGGCTACAAATTGCTTCATAGTGTGGCGCTTAACCCCTTGCGCCACCAGGGAGGCCCTCTTAGAAATTATGGAGGACAACCCCAAGATTTGTTGTGCACCTGGGTTATGTCTAGTCACAGTTGCCAAATAAAATTGAGAAAGTATTCAAATATGTATTAATTCATTTTAAAGTAGCAACCCCGTTATTAATACAAAGAATGTGTTTGCATTATAATAAGTATTTTAAAACATTTAGGGAGAGGCCTGGCTAACCTCTTGTACGCCTGCTAGTATAGGACACAGCTGGAGGGGCTCTCCATGCAGGGAGTCCAGGCGCTGCCATGTCACATGGCAGGTAACCTCTGGAAAACTCCACTGTAGACTCATGGGAGGAGAAGAGCGAACAAAGCTAATAATACCCTCACCGTTTTGTGAAAATACTTTGGACCTCACAGACAAGCTAGAAAAGTCTTGGCGACTCCCCAGCGTGTCCTGGACCATGCTCAGAACCCCCTAGAGAATGAGCTCCAGTATCTGGGAGCATGGGGGGGGACCGGGTGGGGATAGGGGTGCATGGCGAAGGGGAAGAGAGAGAGACTTCAGGAGACAGCGATGTACCCAGAGAGGGAAGGATGGAAGAGCCTCAAGACCCAGCCGGGCCTTGGAGACTTGGTGACGCCCCCCCACAATCTCTCTTTCTCCCTGCAGGTCTACTCTCCAGTGACTCCAGTGCCCACCATGGCCCCCCTCAACTCCTACATGACCCTGAACCCTCTGAGTTCCCCCTACCCCCCTGGGGGGCTCCCTGCCTCCCCACTGCCCTCCGGACCCCTGGCGCCCCCGGCCCCCACAGCGCCCCTGGGGCCTACCTTCCCAGGCCTGGGTGCCAGCAGCGGTGGAGGCAGCAGCTCAGGGTACGGGGCCCCGGGGCCAGGGCTGGTGCACGGGAAGGAGATGCCGAAAGGGTACCGGCGGCCCCTGGCGCACGCCAAGCCGCCATATTCCTACATCTCGCTCATCACCATGGCCATCCAGCAGGCGCCCGGCAAGATGCTCACCCTGAGCGAGATCTACCAGTGGATCATGGACCTCTTCCCCTACTACCGGGAGAACCAGCAGCGCTGGCAGAACTCCATCCGCCACTCGCTCTCCTTCAACGACTGCTTCGTCAAGGTCGCCCGTTCCCCAGACAAGCCCGGCAAGGGCTCCTACTGGGCGCTGCACCCCAGCTCAGGTAACATGTTCGAGAACGGGTGCTACCTGCGCCGCCAGAAGCGCTTCAAGCTGGAGGAGAAGGTGAAGAAAGGGGCCAGCGGGACCCCCACCACCAGGGGCGCCGTAGGGTCTGCCGCCCCGGCTGCCCCGGTCGCCTCTGCGCCCCAACCTCCGCCCCCCGAACCTGAGGCCCAGGGTGCGGAAGAGGTAGGGGCTCTGGACTGCGCCTCCCCGCCCTCCTCGACCCCCTATTTCCCTGGCCTGGAACTCCCCGGGGAGCTGAAGCTGGATGCGCCCTACAACTTCAACCACCCCTTCTCCATCAACAACCTGATGTCGGAACAGACGCCCGCGCCTCCCAAACTGGACGTGGGATTTGCGGGCTTCGGGGCCGAGGGCGGCGAGCCCGGGGGCTACTACCAGGGCCTCTATTCCCGCTCTCTGCTGAATGCATCCTAGCGGGGTGGTGGGGGGCGCAAGGGCTTGGGGTATGGCTGGAGCCCACACCACCGCCTCGTGGAGCCTGAACCTACAGGTTACACTTGCCTCGTCCCATCGGTTAACATCTTGGTTGGCCTATTACTGTGATCTCTGTGGGCATCGCACGGGTCCATGGGGTACTGTGATTATGGCCATTGGCGTCTCAGTGGGCCCATTGGGTACGGCCAAGACTACCACGTTGACTGATGTTACAGGTTGAGCCATTGGGAGTCTGATGGCTGCCATCTTGGTTGGCCCCTTGAGCTCTGTGATGGACATCCTCTTGACTCACCCTTTGGGTGTGATGGTGATACTTTTTCTATTACATGTTCTTTGGCCCATTGGGCCCTGTGATCACTTTTTGGGTGGACTTCTTGGCACCAAAGTCAGCCACCATCCTGCAGAACATTTTTTGGTTTGTTGGGTGCTGTGATGGCCGCCATCTTGGTTGGCTTACATAAGCAGTGTACCGTGTGCACCATGACAGCCCCCACAACCCTACAACGAGGTGTGGGCCACGTGTCTCCTGGGTGTGAGTGAGTGGGGCATGGAGACGAGACTGCTCTGGAGTTTTCTCTGGAGCCCATCCCCCTGGTCTGGTCCAGGAGAAACCAGAAAGGACTGGTGAAGGTGTGGGGAATTTCTACTGAAGTCTAGTTCTTGCCTGGGACGCGGGATACTGGCTGTGTTTGACCATTAAAGGCACCATTTCTGCCTCTTCCTGAATGTCTCCTTTCCTTGGCGGGTGGGCCCTGTGGGGCTTAACACCTGATTTCTGTTCCCTGGTCCCCTTTCCTTCCTACCCCCCAGGGCTGGCTGCCCCTGGGGGAGGGGCTGGGGGAGCCATTGACCTGACCTTTGGCTCTTTGCTGTCCCTGACCCCAAGGACAGTTTGCTTACAGATAGCAGCCCCCGCAGCAGGGGAGCCAGGGCAGCGGGGGAGGTGGTGCCGCAGTGACCAAGGCCATCTCCCCACCTCCACTGCCCGGACACACACCTCTAGCTCCCCAGCTCCGGAAGCCTAGGGGCTACTCAAGTTTTGGGGAGGTGTTCATTGAAAAAGACGGTGTATGTGCTAGAGCTTCTCTGTGTGTGTTTGTGTGAGCATGTGTGTCTGGTTTTGGTGTGTTTCTCTTTCATGCCTCTCCCCAGAGCCCTCTGGGTCTCACACTGAGAGGTGTGTGTCTCTGCAGGTCACTTTGTCTGCGTGCTGCTGCCTCAGTCTCTGTGTGGTTGGGTCTGCGTTGCGTGAGTGTGCGTGTGATGGTCCATGTCGAGCCTGCGTGACTTCCACATGGGTCTGCGTTGTATATGTGCCTGCGTCCGTGGAGCTATAGTTGCGGTTCACGTCGACCTAACAGTTGGCATCTGTATTTGCCAGGCTCAGCATGTTGCTGTGTCATGACTGCATCCACCTCGAGCCTGCGTGGGGAACCCCCAGGCTCTGGGGTGCGGGGAGGAAGTGGTTCCTTCAGTTGCCAGGGGGCCTCTCGGGTGGGCTCTGGGTGTCTTCCTTCAGGTCCTCCTGAGGCCCCGGATCTGCACTCTACCCCCGGCGGTTGGGAGAGCCTGGCTTTCCAGAAGCACAATTGTGTACGTCACACCGGTGCTTCGCAGAGGACACTGAGGCCCCGAATGGGAAGGGACTGGGCCTGGGTCACAGCCGGGTAGGCTGGTCTGGTGCTGTCTCTTGCTCAGTTTGCAGGTGCCCTTCGTGGCCATTGAAGCGCCAGCCGCCCTGTCATGGAGGCGGCCACGGTCTGCACGCAGGCGCTGCGCCTCCCAGTTCTCTGCATCCATTTCTCCGCCTGCTAGTGTCCTCGCTCTGGGTCACTCTGTCCCTAGCCGCTCTCTGCCCCTGTCTCAGACCGCGCTCTCACCCTCTGTCTCCTGTGGGCTGTCTTGTGCTCTCTTTCTTACTCTAGATTATTGCTTTGACTCCATCGACACCCCCGCCCCCTGCACCCATGGGTGTCCCCCCTTGCCTCGGGGACTCTGACCTCATCTGTTGAGGTCTGTCGCCCCCTACTCCTCCTCCTCCGGCCCCCCTCTCCCGGCTTCCTGAGTTTCCACCTCTACCTGCCACCTCGCAGGCCTGTTTCTGCGGCTGGGCCGGCCCTGCCCGCCGTCCGCGTGTCACCCCCGCCCCTGCCTTGCTGGCTCCCTGTCCTTCCCACCAGCCTGGCTGTCCTGGGCCGGCCAGGGAATTCCTCCTGGTTCCTGGAAAAAACAACTGGGGCCGAGAGAAAGGCCCTCAGTCTCCCCGGGCGCCCGCCCCCCTCCCTCGGGCCTGGGGGTCTCTCCCGGAGTCAGCCGGCCCGAGGCAGGAAGCCCTGCGGTTTCTGGCTTCTCCCAGGCGGCCTCCGGATCTGGCCCCCGCCCCCCGGCCAACAGCCCAAATATTATTCCGCAGGAGGAGTCGGTGGCAGCGGGAGGAGGCCCAGGCTGAAAGAGGCTTTCAGGGCGGCCAGGCCTGGGGCTTCCTGTCCCCAGGCTCGGGCCTCAGGCCGCCCCAGTGGGGACCTCAGGTGGCCGGAGGGGCGGGGTGTTGTTCTAGGGTCCTGGGGGAGGGTGGGGCCATCCGCCGGGGTGTCTGGTGGCCACTGGCTCGGCTGGCGTGGGCAGGTGTGACCCCCACCCCAGGGACAGCCGGCTGATGTCCAGTGTGGAAAAGTACCACAGCGAGACGTGGGACGCATGGACAGACAGGCGGACGCCAGGGATCAGGGATGGAGGGGTAGCCTTGGGGACATGGAGAGGCCTGGACTGGGACAGCTGGGCCTGGACTCCGCCTGTGGGCCTGAGGTGACAGATGGACCAGGGGCCAAGGGGGGGGCTCCTGGGTGGGGAAACAGGACCCAACAGTGGGCAAAGGGCATCAGAAGACTTGAGATGATATTGATGATGATGGCGACAGTGATGAAATCAACAACTGCAGCAACAATAATAGTAGTGACAGCCGCCCACTGGGTTCCACCAGGTGTCCACATTGTACGAGCCCCTTGCACAACCGCCTGACCCATCATTGCGTTATTGGTGCAACTGAGGCCCGAGGAGGTGAAGCGACTTCAAGTTCACGTCGGGAGTAAGTGGGGCGCTAAGACCTGGGCCCAGGCAGCCTGAGCCAGAGTCCTGCCCTGGGTCACAGGGCTCCTGAGAGCATGGCAGGAGCCCGGGGTCCCAATCCCTCCCCCCTGTTCCCCGCCAGCCACTAGCTGCTGCAGCGGAAGGAGGGGCGGCCCCAGATCCAGCCGCAGCCCAGGGGGTCTCCGAGCGCGTCCCGTGGGGGCGCGCCACGGTTGTCCGCACGTCAGCGGCCCAGGTCTGCGGCTTCTGTGCCCGGGACGTGTCTGGTCAGCGTGTTAGTGCGTGTCGTGTGTGCGCTTGTCAGTCTGCGTCAGTCTGTCGTGGGGTGTACGTGGGTGTTGCTGTGCCTGAGATGTGTGCGTGTCCCTGTCCGTGTGTCCTTGTCTCCTGCCTATCGGTCACCGTGTCCTGAGTCTGTCGCGGTGTCCGTCACAGTGCGTCTCTGTTACTGGCCCCGTGTGTCACCGTGTCTGTCCCCCGATGTGTCACCAGCTCCCTAGGTGTCACCGTGTTACTCACTGCCCAGGCCGCAGGTGGGCGTGTCGGCCCGCTGGTGCCAGCACTGGGGCCCAGCCCATCCCACCGTCGCCTGCTGTGGGCCAGGCTGCCCTGTTTGCAATGCCTGCCCCAGGTAAACACCAAGATCCGGAACCGAGGGCCACCTCCTTCCCCTCCACTCCCTGTCCCTCAACCTGCCCTGGAGTGGGCTGGATCAGAGCACCACAGGCGGGGCCCCCAAACTGCAGAGGCACCCCCCACCACCACCCCAGTGCTGCTCATGGTCACCGGCCTCCTCAGGCCCCCAGCGTTGGCCCAGCCCAGTCTGTCGGCCTCCCTCTGGGTGTCTCCTGGTTTCCTTCTGGTCCTTTCTGCCCTTACTCTCCTCGGGGGTTTCTCTGCAGCTCTGCCTTCCTCTGGAAGGCCCCCTTATTCCCGGCTCTGACTCCTTCTCCCTTCCCAGTGAGGTCAGCTCGGTGCTCCAGCCCCGTCAGTGCTCCGGCCCCGGCCCCGGCGCCGGCAGGCTGCCCCTGCCACTTGCTTACCACCTCTGCCCCTCTCTCGGTCTCTCTCTCACACTTCGTAAGTTTCTCTCCATCTGTCACTGTGTCCCTGGCCTTGGCCACTCCTCTGAGGGTCTCTGAGCCCCCAGCCCCCACCGGAACAGACCTGTGCCATGCCTGGGGGGCAGAAGCGCGTGGCCCCTGGCCCCCGCCCGCTGGTGTATATATAACGATATATATACATATTATTTATATCTGCACCCGGGCAGCAGGGGCAGACACTGGGGCCTTTGTGTAGCCGCTGCCCGCTGCCTGCCCGCCTGCCACTCCTCTCCCTTCGTCCCTGCCGCCCGCCCGCCTCCACTCCCCCCCACAGAAAGGTTCCTGTGGGGCCTGCCAGCTTCCTCTGCCTGAGGTGTGAGTGGGCACGCCACGGGCGAGGCGGACAGGGGGGCCTGGGGGATTTTTCCAGCCCCAGGGAAGCTTTCGGGGTGGGAGGGCCTTCTCACTTCAAGTGCTGTCTGACTCTCTGGGGCTGGTGTCTTTGGGGCTCCCCAGGTCCTTATCTGGCGCATCCCGGGGACTCTGACACCCCTCGGATGCCACGCAGACCTATCTGTAGGTTTGTGTCTTGTTCGCTCAGACCCACACACAGTCACTAAGGGGTCTGTCGGGCCCTGGACGCAGAGAAACGAGATGCTGTCCGATCCAGCACATTCGTTGCCAAGTCCGTCTCAATTGCTCCCTCCTTTCCTCGGTGCTGGAAACCCACCGCCCATTTTGTTAAACAAAGTCCAAAGTCCTTCTCACAGCCTAGCCCCCTCCCCCAAGCTCCCGCACAGCCTCTCTGACCCCCCCCCCCCCCCCCCCCCCCGCCCCCGCCATAGCTGCATGGGCCACCTGGCTGCTTCTGGAACAGACCCAGCAGGCTCCCACCTCAGGGCCTTTGCACATACTATTCCTCTGGGTTGCTCCTCACTGCCTAGCGTCCTTTTCTCAGTGAGCCCTTTCCAACCTCCCTCTTTAAAATAGCAACCCCTGTCATTCTCGATCTCTTTCCCCTGGTCATCTTCTCTTCGCGAGACTTCCACGCCATGGACATCTCGTTTTATGGGTCTGTCTGTATCTGTCACCTGAATGTCAGCTCCAAGAGAAGACCAGCTGCATTCTGTACCCCCCCCAACTCCTGTCTCAACCCGCCGACCCCCAGGGTGATGCTGGGGACACTGTGGTGATTGGCCCTGGCCCAGCCCCAGCGGGGCTCACAGTCTAGCCCTCAGGCAGTCATGAACCAGAATGTGTAGGGTTGGGATAGGGGTGTGCCAGGTCTGAGAGTCCAGAAACAGCACCCGACACAGCCTGGGGGTCTTCCTGGAGGAAGTGTCAGCTCAGCTGAGACTTGGAGGGTGAGCAGGAAAGTTGGGGCAGTCCTGTCACCGGGGACCAGGTCACCAAGACAGACCAAGTCCTGCCTTCCTTCACAGAGCTCGGCCCTTCTCCCCCATCTGAGAACTCTTGAGCTGAGCCATCTGCTTGCCCTCTGTCCCGCCTTCCCAACTCTCAGACATTCTGCCTCTCCATCTCACTCCTCTCTCGCGTCCCTTCTACGTCTCTCATGGGCC